GGTATGCCGCTAGTACTGGCGGCGGGAGGTGTGCCTGAGGGGCGGGGGTGGGAGCCTGGGCGGCGATGGTGGCGATGGCGGCGAGGACCGTCTCATTGCCACTTAACCCATATTGGGTAATGAGGGCGGCTAGGGACTCAGTAAAGCTGGAGTTGGCCATTTTAGGATAAGAAGCTAAAGGTGAGAAAGCAAAGATGAGGACGGGTCCCTGCTCTCGATAGAACAGGGACTAGAACGCGGGACGCACTACAACACACTATGCACGTAATAGTAACAGTAAAAATGCAAGAAAACACAAGAAAATAGAAGACAGTAAAAAAAAAAAAAAATTGAAAAATGATAAATGATAATGAAAATGAAATGACAAGTGAAAATGAAAAATGAAAAATGAAATGAAAAGCGGAAGTCAGTCAGACCTCCCTGCCCGAAGACAGGGGGGCAAGAGCTGTAGCAAAAAAGTGACTCACCGGCAGCCTCGACGCTGTTCCGCGTGAGCAGGACAGCGGAGGCGCGTGAGAGCGCGACAGTCATGACAGGTCGTATGCAGACCTTATATAGGGTTCGCTTGTTGCGGAGGGATATTTTACTGTGTCTGCCCAACATGCTGTTGAGCCTACCCATGTAAAATTGTGCGGTGCGAGTAACCTTCTTGATATGGGATTCGAAAGTGAGCCTTGCATCAAGGGTGACGCCTAAATAAATACACAGTCTGTACTCCTTACTTCTACACTCCATAATTGTAAGGCTTTTTAGTAAAGTTACAATGTAACACTGGTTATTGTAATTGATAATAATTTGTGAGTGGATAACACTAACGCACCACTCCAATATTAGTCATATGGATTATACTCCTAAAAATTAATGAACAATTTTTATTTTATATATGTTTTAAATGTATTAAGTATTACTAATAATAACATATCACATAATTTTATAATAATAATATCGTAATTAATGAACAATTATGTATTAAAGTAACGATAGTTATACTATTACCTAATGCTCTTGCGTCATAGATTTGATACAAATTATGATAATTTTAAAAATAAACTCTATTTTTATAATATACAAATAATAAAAAATAATTATTTGTTTAGGAATCATTCACAGGACAAGAAAATGCAACCAAGTTTTTGGCATACCTATGAAAAATTGTTATGGTATGAAATAAAATAAAACTCTATGTACTATGTCCTGACACTGACTTCAAAACTAAATATGTAATCTTGTTTATATTTTTTATTTTTTTAAAGTCGGTAGGTACTTGTTTTTATTAAAAGTTCAATTTTTCATTTCCTTTTTAGGGTTCCGTAGTCAACTAGGAACCCTTATAGTTTCGCCATGTCTGTCTGTCCGTCTGTCCGTCCTCACTTAATCTCTGTGACCGTTAGCACTAGAAAGCTGAAATTTGGTACCAATATGTGTATCAATCACGCCGACAAAGTGGTAAAATAAAAATTGGAAAAAATGTTTTATTAGGGTAGCCCCCTTATGTAAAGTGGGAAGTGATTTTTTTTAATTTAAACCCTAACGTGTGATATATTGTTGTAAAGGTATTTAAAAATGAATAGGGGTTTACTAAAATTATTTTTTGATAATGTCAATAATTTCGGAAATAATCGCTCCAAAAGTAAAAAACAATGTGCTCTAACTTTTGAACCATAAGTTTAGAAAATATGAAAAAAATCTGAAAAGTAGAACTTTATAAGGACTTTCTAGGAAAATCATTTTGAACTTGGATGGAAACAACAGTACCCACTACCGGGAGCAGTTGCAGGAGCGCGGAGCGCTGCTGGAGCGCGAACATAATGGATACCCACCTTTAAACTCATAAGTGGGAACACTTATTGTGACAGACGGGAAACTATGGAACCCTACACTGAGCGTGGCCCGACACGCTTTTGGCCGGTTTTTATTATTAACAGACCAGACAATCGTGATCTCCGTTTCATATTATATATTACATATTGTGTATAATTTATCTAATAAATTGATTCAAATTGTAAATGTTTACTGAATTATCCCTCCTCCTTCCACATGATGCGACGGAAAATAAACCGAAACAAATACGATACGCAGTACCTACGCACTAATCACTTATATTCGTAATTCGTATTATTTGTTTCAGAGTTTTCATATCACGCCTATCTCCCCACCTTGCTGCTTGTATTCAAATGAATTATACCATTGTGCGAATATAGATTGCACTTAAACTTAAACGAATTATATTTGTATTTGATTCTAAGTCACTTCTATTACAAAGTATATAGAAAACAGACATGGAATATTTTAACGCTATACCTAGTTACCTACTTCAGCAATTAGAGCGTTTAATACGTTAACGCATGAGCAACCAATAATTGATAAGACATTAGGTATGCACTTACTATATACAAACTTGCTGTAACGTTTGTTACTTCCGCCTACGTTAATGCCAACCACGTTATACAACTATCGAATTCCAATTTTCAACTTATGTTTAATAGGTAACTTCATTTATTAAAGGCCAGTGCATTTTTGATATTAGTCCTACACAATAAATAAAACTTAAGTTATTAGTTTTTTTTTATCGAATAAAGGTGACAAACGAGCACACAGTCTACCTGATGGTAAGTGGATCCTGTGGCCCATAGACATCTACATTTATCCTCGACTAGCTGTTCCCTGCGACTTCGTTCGCGTGAAATTTATTGCGATTGAATTCCATGTATATGAATTTTTTGCGAATGACCCCGATTCTTTTTCTAAAATAAAAATAAGACTATGTTACTCCTTACAACATCAGCTATCTGCCAGTGAAAGTCCTGACAAAATTGGTGCAGCTATTTCGGAGATTATCCGGAACAAACAGAAAAACAGACACAAAAATTATAAAAATTGTTTTTGTTTTAAAAATATTTTATATAGCTGTGCCCCAAGGTTTCACCCGCGTATTTCACGTGTCTGCGCCGTGCGACATAACATGACACCTCGCTCATTTAGTTCAATCATTTTGGCTAAAAAATTGGCAAATTAATGTAGTACTTTTATTCTATCGGCATATGTATGTTATACAGCAAAGTTAAATTTTATCCATTCTCTCTCCCCGTCCCAGATAAACGCCCCAGAAAGTGCCCCAAAACGCGCTTTTTTTTCAGTTTTAAAGATAACTGTACACGGTACATGAAAAGTGTGGAGGTATTAAATGATCAATCGCAGCAAAACTAAAGTTATGATTGTCGATCGCATCAACAATAACTCGCCGGAAGTGACACAAATCGCGAAATGTCAAGTAGTCCAATCATACATTTATTTAGGAGCGCTAATTTCGAGCAACGGGGGCTGCATAGATGAAATAAAACGACGTATGGCGATATCTAGGACAGCCATGGATAAGTTGCGGAAGATATGGAGGAACCGTAACATAACAAAAGCCACTAAGACCCGGTTAGTTAGAGCGCTTGTGTTCCCCATATTCCTCTACGCTTCGGAAACATGGACCCTGCGAGAAAGTGAGAAGAAGAGAATAGACGCTCTCGAGATGTGGTGCTGGAGAAGAATGCTGAGAGTGTCCTGGACCGAATTCCGGACCAATAAGTCTATTCTCGAAGAACTCCGCATCAAGCAACGTCTGTCATCTATTGTGCAAGCTCGCATACTCACTTTCTTTGGTCACGTGTCTAGACGTAATGATATCTCGATTGAACGTCTAGTGGTCCAGGGAAGAGTAGAGGGCACTAGAGCGCGTGGCAGATCGCCTATGAGATGGACAGACCAGGTGAGGGATGCGGTGGATGTCCCGTTGCATGAGTGCACAAGAAAGGCAGCTGTTAGGGAGGAGTGGAGGCGTATTGTAGAGCGTGCCACAACACCCAAGTGACGACCACGACCGCTCTGTCAAGAGCGTATCGACTGAGAAGAAGAATTAAATGATCCATGATGAATTTTCTATCAGCCTTTTATACATACGAAAGCGATGTCATATATTATATTTTTTGCGCAGTCTGCCACAAAATATGAACATTTCTTATCTTTAATCGATTTATTTTGCTCAAAGTTTAGATAAATTTAAATTTCCAACTTTACCGCCAAAATATGTATGACCATAGTAAAGAATAGAATATGCTCTTTAAAAAGACGTACAAGTTATTTCTTAAACCTTTCATTATGATAAAACTATTTATTTGAATAAGAATTAATACTACGATACGACTGTAACCGACTTTTGTTTCGGCCGGTGATCTAATTAAATTTTAGAACACAAAAGCTACTATTGTGACTTAATTATGATAGTTAGATATATTCCTTACGCGGACTTTTTTGAAGGTAATAATGAGTACTTTAATCATGTAGCACGTAATTTCTATATATCTTTAAGTTTTCTCAGCGCACGCCAAATAATGAATTTTATAGGCAAAATTTTGCTACATTGGGTTACAATTTTCTTAAAGATCTCCAATTTTTTTGAAAATAAATTAAAGCCTATGTTACTTTGTGATAGTTTACCATTCTATTGGTAAAAAATTATTAAAATCGGTCGAGTAGTTTTGGAGCTTATTTGGTACAAACAAACACAAAAATCTTTCTTCTTCATAATATTAAGGTATAGATAACATGACCAGACGTCCCGTTTTGAACGGGACTGTCCCTTTTTATAGTTACGAGTCCCGGTGTCCCCGAAATGAACTTTGGGACGCAAAATTGTCCCGTTTTCTGAAACCGCGCGAAAATTTAAGTAGTTCATTCGAGCCAGCCGGACGGCCGCCGTGCCGGCGCGGCCGGACGCAAGCAGTGTGCTAGAGCAACACCCATCGTCGGTGGACGCGGGAGCGATGACGTCTTCGCTTCGCCACTTGCGACGATAGCTGAGAGTGGCGAAGACGTCATCGCTCGCGTTTTGTTGACTAATTTTTTGACAGATTTTTCGTTCACTTCTTGATATTTGTTTTGTTGTTGTTGTTTGTTGCTTGTGTACCTAGTAAATAGCTTAAGCTTCTTTTGTTTTGGAATCATAAGTTAAAATGCCGAAACGCAAGTTGGCGTTCAATGTTAACTTACAAGCAAAATATCCGTTTATTAAGCAAATAAATACTCCCTCGGATGTCAAATGTGGAAAGTGTCGTACAGAATTTAGCGTTTCCCACAGTGGTGCCAGGGATATTGAACAGCATTTAAATTCTAAAAAACATAAAAATGCTGATCGTGCCGCCGCTTTGAGCCCTTCATTGTTAACCTTTTTCAAGAAATCGGACGCACCAACTTCAAAAGATTTAGATATCGCCGCAACAGAAGGCGTCTGGGTTTATTACAAGATACAAGAAAACCACAGTTTTCACTCTAATAATTGTGCATCGAAATTAATTCAATCATGTTTTGATCCCAAATTTACATGCGCGCGTACGAAATCAGACCTATTATAGTAAATATTTTGACACCTGGTGCGATTAAAGAATTAAAAAGATGATCTTGATAAGTCCAATTGTATTACAATTGAAGAATACTGAACAACTGCAAACCACGGTAACAAGAAAATATACCCTATTCTAGTGCGCTTTTTTCAACCTTACGTAGGCGTGAAAGTAAAAATTATGGATCTCCAAGACCAACCATGTGAAACTTCTGACATCATTGTCAATTACTTAAACCAAGTGTTGACAGATAATAATTTGACAGCAAAAGTCGTGGCATTTTGTGGGTACAATGCCAACGTCAATTTTGAAGGCGCCCCTAGGCGAGGAACTAACAATGTGTTAACGAAATTACAATCATCTCTAAAAAAAGCCGTTAATAGGTATTGTATGTGGAGCCCATGTAATTCACAATAATTGAAATCTGCTGCAGACAGGCTACCCTTAGATTACGAAAACATTAACATTATTGTTAAGATATATTCATTTTTATGACGATTTTTATGACGACACAATTCGAGTTGAAGCTCTAAAGGAGTTTTGCACCGAAACTGAAACGGAATATCAACAAATGCTCGGCTATAGCAAAACCAGATGGCTTGCTCTTATGCCTGCCTTGGAAAGGGTTTTAAAAATGTTGCCTTTAAAAATGTCCCCTGTTATTAAAAATTTTTTGAAGATCCCACATGCGAATTGTGGCTTTATTCAAGCTGTATTGAAACTTGAAGGTCAGACCGTATCAGCAATTGTAGCTGCAAAATAAATCAATCAACTAAAAGACAATTTGACTCCGAAACAGACTAATCAGTTTTTTCCATTTACCGTCCGTCAAATAATAGCGAAATCGAAAGATAATTTTACTGACATATAGATGAAGAGTTTGTGAAAAGTATGGTTACATAATTTTATAAAACAAGCCGTGAATATCTGGAGCAGTGGACTTACTTTCTTACCAAAGAAATGGAGATATTTTATTGGGCAGATTTAAAAAAGATCCCCGCGTGGGAAGACGTTCAAAAATCTCTGCATGTTTTAATTGATAAGGAATATATTGACTGTAATAAAGATGCAGAAGTTTTTGACGAATTCACATCAATTTGCAACTACATTACATCGAAGAAAGTAACCGAATGGAATAATCAAAATATTTCCACGGAAACTCGTCGGGTGTAAGAAGTATTCAAACACTTTCAAGCCAACAATCCAATCTTCAGCATGAAAACTTTTCTATTTTAATTGAATATATTTTATGTTTGCCTGCTACAAATGCTCATGTAGAAAGGGTATTTTCTATGATGAACAAATTATGGACATCTGAGAAAACCCTAACAAGTTTCAGTTCCAAAAGCAGTGTTGATAATTAAGCTGAATGTAAATAAAACGTGCCAACAGTTTCATTCTTACTTAAAATCATCACCAGCTATATTAAAGCAAATTTGTTCCTCTAATAAATATAACTGAACGTTTAGGGTATATATATTTTTAATACGTAACTTTTAATCTAACTGACTTTTTCTGAATAAATAACTTTAAAAAAGTTTTTTCATTGACAACCTGTTAATTGACCTAAAAAACAAATGTCCCGTTTTGAGTCAAAAAATGAATGGTCACGTTAGGTATAGATGATGATTTTTTTGTTAATATTTTTTACTTATTTTTTGTTCTTTTTTAATTTTGATTATGTTATTTTTATAGGCAAAATTTTGCATTATTAGAAATATTATTATATTATTTGTAAAAGATCATATCTACAAAACATAAATTAATTAGTTCAGAGCTTCCCTATCAACTATATTTGATGTTCATTACCTTAATAAGTAGCCTCATCACATTACACATACTCGGAGGGCTTTGCATATTTAAACATAAAAAATAGTTCTTGTGACATAACCGTAATAGTTAGACATATGGTATCAAGAACTTTTTCGTAGATATTGATTTCTTCTATAAAACTGTAGTTGTATAATATTTCCGTAGTACATCACTTTGCTCTATTGTACAATAGTTTCCGCAGCGTATCCGATATAAGGATTTTTCGGCGTTACTATTGCATAATTAAACACGAAAAAGTAATAATTTTGAAATAACTGTAATAGTTAGACATATGGTACCACAGAATTTTTTGTAGATAATGATATCTTCTATAAAACTGTAGTACATCACTTTGTTCTATTGTCAATAGTTTCCTCAGCGTATACGATATAAGGATTTTTCGGCGTTACTATTGCATAATTTAACATGAAAACGTAGTTATTTTGAAATAACTGCAATAGTTAGACATATGGTACCGCAGAATTTTTTGTATTTTTTTGGTATTTTTTTCACGCCGTGGGTTACATTAACGAAGTTTTTATACGGATCCCTATTTTTTTTTTGAAAATATAATATAGACTTTATTCATCAGGGATAATGTAGGATTCCATTAGTGAAAGAATTTTTCAAATCGGTCCAGTAGTTTTAGAGCCTACTCAATACAAACAAACAAATTTTTCCTCTTTATTATACAGGGTGGGGCAGCATAACTTCCTTTTTTTTAAAACCTAATAAAACACATTGTATGAATCGGAAAAATTTTATTTGGTTTTTACAATGTAAGTACATACTTAAAGTTTTGTTTTATTTAGTTTTGAAGATCAAATCAGGTAGATGACGTCCCTTATTCTCTATACATTGAGTATACCGATTTCTGGTGTTTGTCATAACTCTTTGAAGCAGAGCAGGCGTTATGTTGGCAATTTCTTCCTGGATGTTGTTCTTTAAATCTTTTAGGGTCCTTGGACGGTTCACATAAACACGGGATTTCAAAAAACCCCATAGAAAAAAGTCACAAGGGGACAAATCGGGAGATCGGGCCGGCCACTGCAAATCGCCCCTGATTGAGATAAGGCGTTCTGGGAAGTGTTCTCTCAAAACAGCCATCGATGCTCTTGCAGTGTGTGCCGTTTTACCGTCTTGTTGGAACCAAATGTCTCCCAAGTCCAACGCATTCAGCCGGGGTAAAAAGAATTCCTGTAACATGTTTACATACCGGCCCGAATTCACTGTTACCGTGACTTCATTTTCCTCAAAGAACCAGGGACCAATAATTGCAGCTGAGGAAATTGCACACCACACTGTGACCTTAGGTGAATGCAAAGGCCTTTCATGCAATTCTCGAGGATTGGTGTCAGCCCAGTAGCGCATGTTTTGTTTGTTCACGGATCCACACAAGTGAAAATGTGCTTCATCACTAAAAAAAACAATAGCGTCCTCAGGAACGACATCCAGAAGAATCTCACATGCGTTCCTGCGAGAATCGTAGTCACGTTTTGACAGTTCCTGTACAGTCGCCATCTTGTATGGATGGAAATGTAAGTCTTCATGGAGAATTCTCCGCACAGAACGACTGGAAAGTCCAAGGGCATCTGCATGTTTGCGCGCAGAACGCCGTGGTGATCGCAACATTGAAGCTCTGACTGCCTCAATGTTCTCAGGTGATCTAATGGGCCGAGGGACTCCAGTTCTTCGTTTTGTCACACTTGCAGTTTGTCTAAACGTAGTGACCCACATAACAATTGATTTTCGGTCTGGAACAGGGGCCAACGGGTCTAAATTAAAGCGATTTCGAAAGGCGCGCTGAGTTGCATCCGCGCGAAAAGTAAGCCTCAACAGCAAACGCACGCTCCTCACTGTTCCAACGCATTATGGCGACTGAGCTGTCTCGACTAAACTTTATAGCCCCCCCTCTCGAACGAGACCACTAGCGCTCCACTACGATGTCACCTGACCGAATGGCGCGCATTACAAATAAGGAAGTTATGCTGCCCCACCCTGTATTAGTGTAGATGTAGATGAAAAAGTAGTTATTATGACATAACCGTAATAGTTAGACATATGGTATCGCGTACTTTTATGTAAATATTGATTTCTTCTATAAAACTGTAGTACATCACTTTGCTCTACTGTCAATAGTTTCCGCAGCGTATGCGATATAAGGATTCTTTTGGTATTTTTTTCACGCCGTGGGTTACATCAACGAAGTTTTTATACGGATCCCTAACTTTTTGAAAATATACTGTAGCCTATGTTCATCAGAGATAATGTAGAATTCCATTGGTGAAAGAATTTTTAAAATCGGTCCAATAATTTTGGAGCCTATTCAATACAAACAAACAAATTTTTCCTCTTTATAATAATTAAGGATCAAAATGCAGATGCGTTGTCGCCCCTGAGAAATAAAATGGAATGCTTCGTTTTCAGTAAAAAAGGTCTCCAGTTCTTTACACTCACCATACGAAACACAGGAGCTTTAATTTTACCCTAGTATTCTGTTAGAGCGTGGTACTGCCCCGGTCGAGCCGACTCCTTCGTACTACAAGCATAATATGGCTGCAGTGTGGCACTACCACGTAATAAAATATAAGTAAGTACCGAGTTATAATATAAAAAGCACATAATTTAATTCATATGTACAACGTCAATTATCAACTACCACCAGAGATTTTTCCTTCAAGGAAAAAGCCTTTAAAAAACCGGCAACGCATCTGCAATCCCCCTGGTGTTGCAGCTGTTCATGGACGGCGGTAATCACTTACCATCAGGTGAGCCGTATGCTCGTTTACCTCTTCTCCTATAAAAAAAACGTATATATTTTACCTGAATACTCGTAATTAGTGAAACTTTTGGTTATTCTTATCACTTGTCAGCCGTTTAAAGCCATTTTACAGAATATTTCCTATTAAGAATAAGTCAAGCGTATCTATTATTTAAATCCTTCAACTACCGTAATTGAAGACAAAACTTTTATTTTTAATATTATTACAGCATAACTATTTTGTATAAAAACAAACTGGTTCTCATGGAGCTATAATGTACTTCCAATTTGCCGAGTGTGCTACCGCTACTAGCTGTTCGCAGTTAGCGTTGCCAGGCGTCCGGATAAAGCCGGACGCTGTCAGGCTTTTTGGTTGCGTCTCCGGCCAAATTAGACGGTGTGGTAACGGTACATATAAGATCATTGGTGTCCGGCCTGT